TTGAGACATTTTGAGATGTTTTCTTTCAGAGGAAAATCTATTTGGAAAATCGATAGTGAATTCTTCTGGTAATGTTTATTGCGTCAAAGTGAATTTTTCTGTATTGCATTGGGTTCGATTTCGGTGTTTGGTTTTTCTTAGTGGTAAATGGAAATTTAACTTCCAAGGACGTTGTTTGCGTACAATCAGTTTAATGAACGTTGATACTGTTTAGTATAATTGGAGGAAATCCTCAGTAAGCACGTGCACCCAAATATGATTTCAAAGATGTCTCTCACAATAAAACCGATTGAATTGATTTTATTGTTGAAAATATCGACATCTTAGTTATAATTTCGCCACTCATAGGTTTTTATTACAGTTTCTGTAACGCGTAATGATGAACTCTTTCAGTAGGCACATTTACTTCCATATTCAAAGAATGTCTTTATATATTTACTTTTGCAACTCTACCCTTAAAGAATTTTATGTCGGTTAATCACATAGTACTAATATAATATTATATTTATTGTCGAATAAAAAAAAACGTTTTCCAATTACAGAGCAACAATAAATTATGTAGAGTACACGATGGTATATAAACAAAATGAAAGAGAAATTCTAAAGTTGACACAGTGTGAATATAGCACTCGGTAGTAGGCAGAAAGCCTTGAATAACAACAAATTAAATTAATTAAATTAAGAGATATAAATACCAAACCTTGGAATGCAATCTAAAGCGTAAACAAAATTAATGAATAATAAAACTGAAAATTTCGACTAATGTGGAATGTCAATATTCGGAAAAATTATATCAAATAATTTACATGCGTTCACACTAGGAAATCTATATAAAATATCTATATATAAAATTGATACCTGACAGTAAATAAGGTTCATCAAATTTGTTGTGTTCCTCCTGCTTTCGAGGAAGCTAAAATTGCATTTAGATATGTAACAGTATAATGACCATCCTGTATGTATACTTTGAGACCGGTTATCGCAACAAATGAATACGTAAAGTGTATGAATACGAATAAATACAAACGTTGACATTGGTGCTGAAGCTGTGAGAGCGTAATTAAAGCATGCAAGTCGAATTCTTAAATTTTATAAAATATAAATTACATTTACTCTTTAGGGGATTTGTTTAATTAGTAGTGTCACTTCTTAAACTAATCATTTCTACGCCCGCTAAATTTATTTGGAAATTATAGCAGCCGTCATTACCAATTGTTATTGAGAATTACTTTATAAGTGCATTATTGGCACACAATATTGTCAGGAAGTCCACATACGGGTCTAATTAAATATGGTTTTTGTTGCATTGAATTCGGACAAAAACTGTAGGGACTACAGCTTGAGGCGATTTTTAATTTTCACTAAATGGCCGCTATTTTGAAAAAAAAATGAAGTCCGTGGTTATTTTTTTATACCTTCGTTTTTGTATTTTAATCATTTTTGCCAGATTTCATTGAAATAACATCTTGAATTTTGACTGATTCTTGGACAAGGATTAATGGGGATTTTGAATATGTTAAAATCGACACTACTCACAGTATAATGCAAAAAGAATCGTTTATAATGCAATTTTTCCCGGATCAAAGGAATTTCAAGAATGATCATAAAAATGTTGTATATATAAGTAATATGTATAAGTACATTTCACTGAGGGCTGCCGATAAGAATTTGTGGGAATCTTTTTTAATTCTTTCTTGGAAGATTATTTTTATAAAAGCAATGAGCCTTGAAACCCTGCAAAATAGTCAATTTAAGCCCCAGTTGCACCAACAAAATTAAGCCTTGCTTAAAGTTAAGTCGAACTTAAAATCTATAGCAACGATTATTAAGTCAATCGTTGCTATGGTATTTAAGTTATGCTTAACTTTAAGGGATACTTAATTTTGACGGTGCAATAAGTTAGAATATTTATATCTTTAGATGCTCGGAGCTGAGCATGGAGAGCACAAAGTGAAAATCTTTACTTTCTTCGTTTTTCCTAAGAGATACTTTAACAGTACTTCCTCGCTACAACGTCCACATTTTTTATTACCTTCGCGATTCACAAAACATTTTACCTACATTTCTTTCGGTGAACTTATTGCGATTTTGACAACAAATTGGATACTACAATCCCAGCATCATTTAGAACATCTGTTGGTATGCCTTTTTCCGTTTTTTTTGTCATTTTAAACACCTTGAACGTTCTGTTTATCTATCTATTCATAGGGAAGTCCGACCAGGAAGCACTTAAGCACATCAAAGGCCTATTCTGCCTATACCCCCTTTCTTTCGGAACTAGGTTCAGAGCTCGTTCCTCTCAATAAAGAATAAGACCCTGTTTAGTCTAATAGACTGGTACACTTTTATAAAAAAAACAGAGGTTTAAAGAGTTCTAGGGGCATTTCAGACAACATTTGGTCAAATAATTTTACTAATTTGAACCTGCTCTTGCTGAACAGGAATATCGAATGTCTGACTGTTAATGAGTTAGTTGTAGAACAATTGTGTATCACTGAGCCGGAAGTCACACCCATTACCTATATATTATTTCGCGAAACCTAGAAAAGTAATAGGCGACGTATTGCTAAAGGTTAAAACATGGTAGGTACCTACTGCATTCCAACTTTCAGATTCATAAAGATCAGAACTATTGTTATATGCATTTGGTGTTTGAATTTGTGTTCACTTATATTCGTATTTCACTTTCGCCAATTTGTATAGGTGTTAATAATCAGACTTTACCGGTCGCCAACTGAAAGGTGACATTTCAAAGTTCATTTTATTTTTAATTAGCATATCTTTGCATTTTTGCCTAATTTGGATATCACGCACCACGATCTGTAAAATTATTGCTTATTGACGACAACCGGTTGATTATACAAAAATATTAGTTTATGATTCAGAAATCGCAACTTTAAGTGATCTAAAGGACAGTTCATACATTATTCTTTACGGCTTGGTATGCTAAATCAATCAATTTCAAAGGCGGATATGCCTACTGGAAATACGTATAGGAAAATTTTAGAGGTAATTTGGAAATATATTGGGATACATCATTTAAATGTTATTTAACTATATGCTTTGAAATGGTACCGACTTATGGGGTATTATTGTTGAAAATCAAAACCGTGCAAAAGAAATAACTCCTTCTCCTTTAAAAGAGCTTTGACACAACAGGGTGAAAAAGAAAAGTTTCTTTTTTAGATGTTATCAGATCTTACTACCCGTGTAAAATAGAAAAAAAGGTAAAAACTGCCTTTTTAGATATTTTTCAGTAAAATCCAGTGGCGTAGCCAAGAAAAATTTTGGACTACCTTTTTTGGCTCAAATTTTTTGCATACTTCTTTCTGATTACATTTATGTATGACATCCTATATTTTTTTCGAACCTTGAGGAGCCCTAAGAGTGATTTTATGATTGTTTAAAAATCTTTACACACTTAAGAGTCGCCTCTACGATCCCCACACAGTTAGATGTGATAACCAAAGTATGTTCTGAACCAGGAAGTGACTTCACACCAATCAGAAAAGAGGTCGTGGCATCACACCCAATCAACTGGTCCAACAGGTTCGTGAAACGGTCCAACATGCCGGTACTAATCCACATGGCTGTTGAACCGGGTGGAAAAGCTGTTGGACCAGTAGAAAAAGGTCTTGGCCCGCTTTACGAACCTGAAATGGAGGGGAGTATTCGTGCGTGCTCGTCTCTGATTGGTTGTGACATCACGACCTTGTTTCAGATTGCTGTGACGTCACTTCCTGGTCCAGAACATAGTACATTGGTTATCTACTGAATTGCACCAAATTTGGTTCATAAATTTTCGTTCATAAATGTGCGGGTGGTATCTGTGCTGACCCATCGCACGTCAATCAATGGACATCTGACCAAACGCTAGTTAACGGTTCCAAGTCGGCAACCACTATTTTTTATTTTAAATTAACGAAATATAATCTTACACCGGTTATTGAATAACAGAACCAATCGTATATACTAACGATCCAAGATAATAATCCGGTTTCCTGGTCTATTTTATCTTGCCATTAAGTTGATATGAAATCATCAGTTAATTAAAAATTAAAATTAAAGAATATATCAAGTTAATTTCACGTTTATAGACTCCGGGGTGCTGAGTTAGAAGTTTATGAAAACCTTTTACAGTAAATATCTGCTCTGGCCGTTCACCCCTTTAACTATGCGACCCCTGTACTCCCTCTAATTGTAACGACCGCCGCACTAAGAGAATATTGACTCTGGTTTATACTACACGTTACTTGACCCATAGGTTGTACTGTTTGATTTTGCAATTCTTGACCCATTTATATTTGTTATTAAGGTTAACTCCTTCCATCAGTTCCCTGGATAAATATTGCATTAGGGTTAATGTAATGTAAGCGTACAAGGAAGTTGTTAAGTTTATAATTAATTGTTTTTTAAAGAATTTATTTATGCAGTTATTATAAGGTTAAGCGTATCATTTTTCGTGCAATTTTCCAACGACAAAGTTTATAAAAGCACTTGATTACATCCGTGTCTCTATTCATATCTTAAAAATGGGGAAAGTTGGCGTAGTTTTTTAAAGTCGATAATCCTGCAAACACACACCTGCCCTTGGTTAACGGTGGTAATTCCACCCGCGTTTCAAATAACTGCTAAAATTTCCTTCGATTTTGTTTAGACGCGTAATTAAAGATTACTTATGTAAGTGCATTCACAATAAATGGCATTGAGTGTGGGTTTCCGATAGTTCAATCCATGCCCTAAGTTAAAATTCTACACATTAGGTACAAGTCTTAGCGGCTTATCAGCAATTCAAATTTTAATGCAAGCAATGAGCCTTGTAATTGACTATTGCTATTGGTAATTCAAAACAGTCTCATCGAGAGCACTATATCCATAACAAAGCAGTGAAAGGTTCTATTAGCAACCTGATCTGATATAATTACGTGCAGACCAGGAACCGGGGCTTTGCCAGACACTGGGACCTTGCCCCTACTTCTTCTGGCATTTTAGAACTTATATAAGTCTTACTACGACCCCCGCGTACCTCTAGTTTTGCGTTCACTTGCCACAAACACCATGATTGCTAAAATTGTAAGTAAATTACCACATGCTTCTAGCTTATAGTTGTATAGTTAACGGTTAAATTTGTATTTGAAACTGTTGCCAACGTAAGACAGCCAGGGGTGCCACTTCCTACCTTCGCAAAAGGTCAAAGGAAGTTACCTTGAGTAGTTACGAGAGTTGTTGACTACTCCCTTTAGAAGAATGCAGTTTTCAATGTCAAATTTAAGAACGATTTTTATGTGGTTTCGGTCTTGGCAATACAAGGAAATGGATTATTAAAATTTCTAAATAGAAATTTTTATGCCTATGTCCAATAATGCAGTATTATTTGCCCATAAAATGAAAGTTGGGCATGCTCAACTCTTAATTTAAATAAAAGAAATATCTGGTACAGGCGTGGTTCTACATTAAATTGTTTTTACACATGACTGCCACTTGCACCGTTAAAGTTTTACTTTCAATGACTTAAAAACCTACAAATGATTACCTCATATATGTAACAATACGTTTATTGCTTACAGGTGATAGTGATCGCTTTCGCGTGCTTGACAATCGCTCAAGATTTTGACTACGACGAAGGCCCGCAACCACGACCGGCACCAACGCGAATTCGACCGGGATTTTCGGGAACGTCCCCGTCTAAACCATCGGCACCCATTGCCATCTTGAAACAAATAAACAGGTACGCCAATTTACAATTTAAACGTTGTTTAGATTGTGTCATTCTTCTTCGGTTACACGGGCTTCTTTGCGCACTATTAATTTCTAAATTGAAAAGTAGAAGTTTACGTTCTGAATGTTACAACTTTTTTTATTATTCCTATTGTCTTATTAATCAATGGCGTATTATGTTTCGTATCCTGTCATCAACGGCAATGCAATTCAATACAAGTAGCATTCATTAAGAAATGTCCTTGCTTCAGTTGCAAATTTCATTGAACTTTATACTTTTATCAAGAACATTATTAATTACTTGAATATAAATTTCTTAAGGCGGAGTTTATGGCATGATTTGTAACAAGGAAAACGGGATTGTGGATCAATGCATAAATTTGCTTAGCAATTCACTGTTGTATCTAACCGAGCCAATTTTTTGTAGGCATAATGAAGACGGCTCATATACATACGGCTACGAAAGTGCCGATGGATCATTCAAAATTGAAACAAAACTACCAACAGGTGAAGTGAAAGGGAAATACGGGTTCGTAGATGATGTTGGAAAACTTCGAGTTGTTGAGTATGGCGCCACTAAGTACGGGTTTGAGCCACAAGGAGAAGGTATCACCGTTGCACCCCCAACGTTGGTTGATGAAACCACCTTGAAAGACGGCAGTTTGAATCCCGAGTACGCCGATCAGTATTACCAACCAGAACCAGCACCGAGACCAGCACCAAGGCCGAAACCTCGCCCTCAACCTTCTTTCGACGGTTACTCGTCACCCCTACAGTTCGCTCCGGCACCGCAACGATCAGCATCACCCGGACCTGCCAGACCACAACAAGGCTTCGGCGGTGCCTCATTGACAACCGACATCGAATACGGCGCACCACAACCCAGACCAGCACCACCAAGCCGAAGCTTCGCGCCCCAACCCACTAAGCACGGTTTCCGTCCAGCATCCCAATCGTTCTCCTTCGAACCCGCCCCCATCGAAGAGCAAGAGAATTACGCCGAACCAGCTCCGGCTCCCAGACCAGTGCCCGTCCAGTCCTTTAGACCGGCGCCCCAACCCAGACCCGCACCTCTACCCCCATTCAGACCGGCACCGCCAAGTCCCCAGTACCAATCGGCACCTGCACCAAGACCAGGTCCCGTGACAAGACAAAGCGGCGGCGGTCCCGGAATTTTAGATCAGTTAGCCAAAGACTACGCCATTCCTAACGGAGCACCCGCCCTTCACGATATTAGCTTCGGATATTATTAAATTTTAGTCGTATTTATTGAGACAATTTTTTGACTAGTCCTGTTTTCCTTTCAGGAGTTTAAAAGTTGATATTCAACTGCACACCCTCTCTTTGGTTTTATGATTCCTATACGCAACCCTTCAAAAGTTAGTATAGACAATTAATGCTCAATTAAGAATAAAGTGATAGTTTTACTAACTTTATTGTAAATTGTACCTTGTATGTGTGTAAATAAATAATTCTATTATGTAAAGGTCGTTCGTTAGGAATTGGAGCGTTGCAAACAAAGCACCGATACGCATTTGTAGCGCCCACCCATACTTAATCGCAATGAGGAAATGCTCCATCTACATTCTTTATGCAAGTGGGGGTGTTGAATATTTTTCTACCTAATAAAAATATCTTACCACTCGCAAACAAAACGGTATATCCTACAATGCAGATTTTCTCAGACTACATTATATTTATAATACTACTACGGCCATACAAATTCGCAGTGCAGTCCATTTGACCCTCCTAGTCAGTGACCTGACCTAGTCTACTATGTCCGAAATTTCCATTCGTTTTTAATTGTTAAAACTTTTTGGATTTATTTCCATCCATGATAATTTATCCCAGTGGATTTCCATAAGAGCAAACTGGCCCTAACCACTAAAAGCGATATTTTTTCAATGACCGGATATGAAAATGGGGCAAGGTATATGTTTTAACTTTTAATTCCGTGGGCGCGGTCCCCTAAATAGTAATATTTAGTCCTCCCCAAATTATTTTAGAGCAAAAATGTATTAAGGTTTTTTTGTAGAAAATTTTTTTACGTCAATCAACCGTATTAGTTTTCAATTTTTTGCATAATAAAGACGGAAAATTGGAAAAATAAAACCCGCATCTTTTTTAATAATCTGCGATGCCATGGAATTTTCCTCGGAATTTTCTAAAACAAAAAGATATCCATTTATCAATTAGCATCAGTTCGAAATAGATTTTATGATGGACTTGGTTACTGTCTTGCAGTTAATGGTGACTTATTCGAACATTTATTGTAAATTGTTATATTAGGAAACCGTTTTTAGTAATTTGGTCTTTCTTTATGTTGAATTCGCTGTTCTAAATATAATACTTTTTGATAGAATGTGATTTGTTTTATAGCAGACATTTCATGGCATGACGGATATTGGCGTAGGTTTTGTATCATAAAATTCCATGGCATAACAGATTATTAATAATAATAATAATAATAATAATAATAAAATATAAAAATATAAAAATATAAAAAACACATACATAAAGACAAAACAGTGACAAACGATTCTTGTCGACTCTGTTCACAAACATCAGAAACAATCCAACATATAATATCGGCATGTACACGACTTGCACAAACTGAATACAAACATCGACACGATCAGGTAGCTAAAATCATACATCAAAAATTAGCACTTAAACACAATCTCATAACAGATAAGACACCATACTACAAATACACGCCACAGATTATACTTGAAAACAACACACACAAATTATATTGGGACAGGACACTACTCACAGACAAAACTATCCACAATAATAGACCAGATATTACACTTATAGATAAAACGCAAAAATCCATTTGTATTATAGACATTGCCATACCCAACACTAACAAATTAACTAAAACACATGCAGAAAAACACCGCAAATACACCGATATAGCTATCGAGCTTAAGACGCAATGGAGAATGAAATCTACTGTTATAGTTCCCATTATTCTTAGTGCTACCGGAGTTATACCAAAGACAATACCCCACAATTTACAACTATTAGGTTTGGACAAAAACACATACAAACATTTACAAAAAGCAGTCATTATCAACACATGCCATATTGTTCGTAAATTTCTAAACATAACACAAGATACTAGAAATGATCCACAACGTATACATGTAAACAACAGCACTCCCTCACAACACGGTACACAACATACTGTAATATCTCCACCTCTAACCCAAACAAACACACAAATACAACTTACCGAACAAACAAGTACAACAAATGATACAACATATACTACATTCAGAGATTCACCTCTGAAGCAAACCACATTATCACGACCCATTAGTATTCAACCCAAACGCAAAAGCCTAAACAGCACTTTAGATTCACAACATGACACACAACATACTGTAATATCTCCACCCTTAACTCAACCAACCACACAAACACAACTTCCTGAACAAACAAACGCAATAAATACAAGTAACGCAACATGCACTACAAAGACGCCCTCACCCAATAAAGTTACACGGCCTAGCACAGCTAAAAAACACAATACTCTTTCTTCTCAGAAACACACCACGTTATCACAACACACTCGTACTCAACTCAAACGCAGCAACCTTAACAGCACTAGAGGCTCACAAAATACTGTAATGTCTCCACCAATAATCCAAGCAACAACACAAATACAACCTCAAGAACAAAGAAACACCATAAATACAAGTAAGGCAACATGTACCACAAAGGCAGGTCCACTGAATAAAGTTACACGTCCTAGCACAGTTAAAAAACACAAAACTCCTTCTTCACATAAACACACCACGTTATCACAACCCACTCGTATTCAACCGAAACGCGAAAACCTTAACAGAACTACACGCTCACAACATACTGTAATATCTCCACCAAAAACCCAAGCAACAACACAAATACAACCTCAAGAACAAAGAAACACCATAAATACAAGTAAGGCAACATGTACCACAAAGACAGGTCCACTGAATAAAGTTACACGTCCTAGCACAGTTAAAAAACGCAATACTCCTTCTTCTCAGAAACAACCCACTCGTATACAACCCAAACGCAAAAACCTTGACAGCACTACTAGCTCACAAAATACTGCAATATCTCCACCAAAAACCCAAGCAACCACACAAATACAACCTCAAGAACAAAGAAACACCACAAATACAAGTAACACAACTTGCACTACAAAGACAGGTCCACCCAATAAAGTTACACGTCCTAGCACAATTAAAAAACACAAAACTCCTTCTTCACAGAAACACACCACATTATCACAACCAACTCGGATTCAACCGAAACGTGAAAACCTTAACAGAACTACATGCTCACAACATACTGTAATATCCCCACCAAAAACCCAAGCAACCACACAAATACAACGTCAAGAACAAAGAAACACCATAAATACAAGTAACGCAACATGCACTACAAAAACAGGTCCACCCAATAAAGTTACACGCCCTAGCACACTTAAAAAACACATAACTCCTTCTTCACAGAAACACACCACATTGTCACAACCCACTCGTATACAACCGAAGCGCAAAAACCTTAACAGCACCACAGGCTCACAAAATACTGCAATATCTCCACCAAAAACCCAAACAACCTCACAAATACGACCTCAGGAACAAAGAAACACCATAAATACAATTAAAAAACACAAAACTCCTTTTTCACATAAACACACCACGTTATCACAACCCACTCGTATTCAACCCAAACGCAAAGCCAAAGAAACACTTACACAATAAACTCTATTTAATAAAATTACAGGAATTATTATAATATTTTTGTTTTGTTTTCTTCTTTCCTGATAGCGTTGACTATTGGGGCCATTAATAGCTATGTTGGTAAGTATGAATTACATACTATCTCTAGATTTCCAATGTGAGTGTGTGAATATTTATTTTATTGTTTATTTTTCTTTAGAACCCTACATAACTTCACCAGACACAGACACTAATCGTTACTTGATTTTAATCCGTGCGATTAGTTAACCAGGCTAGACCTGAGTTCTCACAAGAAACACCGACAATAATAATAATATTTATTTTTGACATTCAGTTGACACTGCTTAGTCTCGTCCCGGATATTAACATGTAAAATAAGTAGGTTTATAACAATCAAAAACATGAATAAAATATAAAACAAACACATCAATAAATATAAAACAAACAGTATTAACATAAATGAAGGGTTATGGGGCAAGCATAAACTCTTCGGCACTGTAATAGCAATTTGCTATAATATATTTTTTTAATGTTCGGTTAAATTCCCGTAATGGTAACTTTTTTATTTCCTTATTTAATTTATTATAGAGCGAGAGATCAAGTGAGTTACTTTTTGATAAACATAACCTGTACACGGGTGGTAAAAGTTGTTCCTTATATCTTGTATTGTGCTCGTGATGCCGCTTATCCGAGATTGGTTTACTGTGAATTACTCGTGCATGTATTTCAAGTAGTACTTGATATATATACATACATGGTATTGGGATCAATAAGTATCCCCAATAACTTTACATTTGATCTGTTATTTTTATTTTTTGTTGTAGTAAAAGTTATTTTCTGCATTTTATTTGGATTGGATTTTTAGTTTGTTTGTAATCAACCATTCCTGTGCTCTCTCTTCCATTAGACTTACGCTAGATGTTAATTGTTCTTTATCCATAGCGGAACATAAGATGGTAGTATCATCAGCATATTGAATGCATTTGTGAGGATGAATTTTATTTGATAGATCGTTTATATACAATAAGAACAATACCGGTCCTAGCATCGACCCTTGCGGTACTCCATACAGAATGGGTTCAGTGCTAGATGCGAAATTATTATAAGAGACACCTTGAAAAAGATCGGGGTTGTATTTTTCCAATTTTCCATCTTTATTATGCAAAAAATTGAAAACTAACGCGGTTAATTGACGTAAAAAAAAATTTTTTTTAAAACAATACATTTTTGCTCTAAAATAATTTGGGGAACCAATAATCGCATGTTATGAATTTTACATTGAAATCCCTATGATGCGTTACGCAAGTCACCACCCTGTATAGAAATGAATATTCAAAAAACCGCTGAAGTAGTTACCTTTTTAGTTAGCTTCACTAACCTATTGATGCACGATCGAATTGATTTTGGTCGTGTATAAATGTGAGTGTGCCTTCTCCTTTTAGGGAGGATTATTTACAACACGTTAATTAACGCAGTCGATCGTTGACCGGAATACAAGTATTTTGACTCCTCAAGCCATCGTCA